GTTTTTTGTAGGACTTGACTTTTATTTATTTATTTATTTATTTTTTTAAATTTTTTTTTTCAGCGTTTATTTATTTTTGGGACAGAGAGAGACAGAGCATGAACAGGGGAGGGGCAGAGAGAGAGGGAGACACAGAATCGGAAACAAGCTCCAGGCTCTGAGCCATCAGCCCAGAGCCTGACGCGGGGCTCGAACTCACGGACCGCGAGATCGTGACCTGGCTGAAGTCGGACGCTTAACCGACTGCGCCACCCAGGCGCCCCAAGGACTTGACTTTTAAAGAGTGATCATCAGTTGCTGTCCTCTTTTCCCCCTGCCCCTCCTGAACAAGAAAGTCATAAAGCCACTCAGTGGAACAGAGCAAGGCAGTCAGCAGCAATGGTTTTAGGGGGTGTGCCCTGATGGACTAGCAAAGGGACCCCAAGTGGAAGGAGGAGTCATTCAGTCATGGGGATGGTGCTGGGAGGCTGGCACAGTGTGTCAGAGGGCGTGCACCTGAGAGGCGGCTGGCAGGGCATTCGAGCTCTGCTGGTGTCAGGAGGGCACGGGTACACGGGAGGTGGGTAGGGCAACAGTGGGAAAGCATTACCACGGGGAGTTGACCTAATTAGTATGTTAAGAATAGTGAGGACCAAGTGTCTCTCTGTTGGAGAAGGGAGTTACACTATAGAAAAGAAGAAAACTAGAATGAACCCTGAAGTGTCTGATTGGAATTGAAGATATTGGGTGTATCATGATTTGGGGTATATATAGGAAGATACAGAAATATGGTTGTGTGTGTACACATACATTCCCTGGCTCTGTTTATTGAAAGGGCCTGGGGGCACCTGGGTGGCTCGACAGTTAAGCATCTGGCTCAGGTCATGATCTCCCTGTTTGTAGGTTCAAGCCCCACCCACGTCGGTCTCTATGCTGACAGTGTGGAGCCTGCTTGGTTTTCTCTCTCTCCCTATCTCTGCCCCTTCCCAACTCGTGACTCCTTTGTGCTCCTCTCACAGTAAATAAATAAACATATAAAAAGAAGAAAGGAAAGAAAGACAGGGTCTGGAAGCAGCCATAGCCTGTAGCAATGGGAATACCTGGTGTCCAGAGCTTGACTTATGATACCATTCTCCACCAAGGAGCACAACTAGGGCTCCTTGGAGGAAAAAGCCGATTGCAGGGCCAGGGCAGGAAAAGTACAAGATGAGCCTCTTGTACCCAAAAGCAAGGAAGTGCTCAAAGAATTAAGTGGTTTGGTCAAAAGGACACGGAAGCCAGTTTGAAGGGACTCCTAGTGGTCAGATCTGGAGCAAATCGAACATCTAAATAAATAAAACAGTAATATTGAATAAAATAGGAAACCATGAGTCTGTGTTAATGTAAATAATAAATGAATAGATTGAACATTTGAGGATATTTACAGTATCAAAGTCCTTTCCCACAAAATAATGCTTATTATTCATAAAGGGAGGAAGAGTGGCTTTAGAGTGGAGAAACCTGACAGATACCACTTTAATCCCTAACTTGAACTTGATGAGTGAGGGGGTCAGTCAGAATTAGCACACAATAGGCTGTAGCAAAAGAACACAGCCTAGCCCTGTTACATTCCTGCTGTGAGGAAACATCAGACAGACCCACGTCGGGACCATTCCACAAACTACAGGGCCTGACCTCTTAACACCATGAGGAGCTGTGGTGGCAGCTGGGCCTTTGTGGTGAAAAGGACACTTAGGAATTATCTGGCAGAACTTAAATGGGGTCTGAGGATTAGGTATTAACTTTTCAGTGTTAGTGTCCTGATACGATCGCAGTAGGGATGTCTTTGTAGGAAATGCTAATGTCTTGCCGGGTGTTGGGGTGTCAGAGATGAGTTATTTATGGTTCAGAAATAGATGTTTTACCATATTTGCAACTTTTCTATAAGGTGGAGATTTTCAGAGGAGAAAAACTACGAAGGAGCCACTTTTAGAAATTTGGCTCCTGGCCAAGATGACAATTAAGAAGTGTATGTCTGACTCCTTATTACAGCTTTTAGGGTTCTTCTCAGTGATAATCACAGAGGCGTGTGTGTGTGTGTGTGTGTGTGTGTGTGTGTGTGTGTGTGTGTGTAAGTCCTTTATAAAGGTGCTATTGAAGCTGTTCGTGAAGAATGTAAAGGAAGGTGTGATGCCAAAAGTCTCAAATTGCCCTTTCTCCAAATTTGGTCACTAGAAATAACCTTCATTAAAAATCTTACATAACTTTTCAGAAATTTTCTGTGCACGTACATGACTTTGATTTTATGTATTTGTGTATATTTCCTACACTGTGCACATTGAATTATCCTATACAGACTTTTCTGCCACTTAATCTTTTCATTAAATATACATACATGTACACATTGGTACATGTAAAAAGACTGCTGCTTTTTTATTTGCTACATAATCTATTTTTAGTTGTATCATAACTAATCATTATGTTTTATGGCCATTTGGAGTCTGAATATTTTTAAACTGCTACAACCAGTATTACAGGGAATGTCCACATGTTTCTTAACACATTTGATACATTTATCTGTAAGAGAAATTTCTAGAATTGAAGTTGGTCATAAGTTATACATTTTTTAATAAGTGATGTTTCTAAATTCTAAGGAGGTAGCAACGCTCTACACCCCAGAAGCCTTCCTTATGTTTGTATCTCTGCAACCACACAGCAGACATATACTCTCAATCTCTCATCTTTGCTAGTCTCAGAGAGGAAGACTTTCTCATTTTAGTCTGTAGTTGAGTCTGTATTTAGTCTGTATGTGCACTTTCTTGTGAATGGTTTTTTCAGTCCTCCCCACTTTTTATTGGTCTTGCTGATGTGTAAGAGTTATTTGTTAAAGGACCCGTTTGTTGCTACTTCTTGGCCGTGTAGACAGTTTAATTTTTTTTAGATAGTCAGATTTATCAATCTTTTCTCTAATGGTTTCAGAGTTTTATATCCTGCTTGGAAAGATTTTCCTCTTCAAAAATTTTATTTTTAAAAATGGCTTATTGTCTAAGATTTCCCTTAAAAATGTTTTGATTTCTGTGGCTAGCTTGTAGTCTCATCAGCATTATTGATAGGCTGTCAGGGCACCTCATTCTCAGTTTGTGAATTTGTGAATTTTAGATTAGGATGATTATCATTCATGTGATTTAAGAAAGGTAGCGATGATGAAGGGGGAATTGTAAGTGAGAAATAGGAAATGAGTTTATAAGAGAAGTAGAGATTGGGTTGGCACAGGACACTGCATAAATACCATTCCAGATACACTGTATGTTAGGAAAATGAAAATATGCCACTGAAATGTACATTGGGATTGGGTAATTTCTGTCGTGTCCGTATATAATCTTGTTTTTCTAATTTAATATGTTAGCTTCTAGCCAGTTAGATTTGGAAACAAACATAGGTGTAATTGCTGTCTTGTGGTTATACGTTGCTGAACCTTGACTTTAGTCTGTATTCTGACTTCAAGCCTGTGCCTTTCTCTCCTGCTTGGCTTAAATGTACAGCACCGTGTTCCCACAGCAGACATGCGGTTGATTTTTGGACTGGTAGTCGGTGTCCAAGCTGTCTCTCGGGACTCAAGTCTTGAATTAAAGGTGTGTCTGTCTGTCTTTGGACCATTTGGTTTGTGAAAGTAAATGGGTCATAGGTTCTACCACTGCCCTCAGGTCTCGGTCCCCAGTCTCAAGTAATGTGTGCAGACTTGGGGATTTAGATCAGCTCCTCACTTCGTTTGTCTTCCATCTCGTCGTTTCTCGTTTGTCTTCCTATTGAATATTTATTTCCACATCTGCATACCAAGAAGCAGTTTTGCCTAATGTACAAGGTGACTTTGGTCTGTAAGGGTCATCTCTTGATAAGGTATTTAATGACCTGACAGTTAATCTGAATGACAGGTCAGGAACCTTGGGGAGAAATTTAAGAATTTTAAATGAGTATTTAAAGTGTTCAAAAGTAATGGAAGTGGATTTGTATGTTGAGTAGGGTGACGGCTTTGTGTACTGCGTGAGTGTCATAACCTTGATGAACTAGTAGTATTCCCTATGAGGAAAATGACGCTCGAAGGCTAAGTAACTTATTTAGAGTAGATCAGCTTTTATGTGGTGGAGCTGGTATCCAGATCCTTGAGGAAACTTTCCATTAGTTTCTGTGATGTAACTATATCCCTTATTGCAAGGTCTGTTTTGTAGAGAAGACTTGAGTTTGAATCTTTTAATTACACTAGTAAAAGGTGAGGAAAGCTGATTTTCAAAGATAACAGCTTAGAATCATGGGAAGGATACACAGCGAAGTGAATCATCAGCTAGTCAGGCCTTGGGGTGTAGTAATACTTGTCTGACCAGACACTGCATTCCATAGTTTCCAAGACTCCTAGCACCCCAGCTCTTAGGTGCAGAGTGTGGGAAGGCTCCTCCATGTACAGCCATGTGATGAAAAGGAACACCTGTGAAGAAGGGTAAAGGAATTGCAGTTCTTATGTGGCAGAAAGATAGCTATTGGGCCACTTGGACAAAAGGCTGAAATAACTTTTTTTTTTTTTTTATTGCCAGAAGTGAAACCATGCCACTAGATTATGGAAAATTAAAAATAAGCCCATTTACCAGATTTTTGCAAATAAGTTTAACTTTTATTCACTTCTTCCTATGGGAAATACATTAGAAAATAATATTCTTTTCCTCAGAAAAAAGTATTTTTTTGTTTGTTTATTTTGAGAGAGCGCATGCACACATGCAAGCAAGGGAGGGGCAGAGAGGGGGAGAGAGAATCCCAAGCAGGCCCTGCGCTGTCAGCTTAGAGCGCTTGGGGCTCGAACTCACGCACCGTGAGATCATAACCTGAGCCAAAACCAAGAGTCGGACGCTTAACCGAGTGAGCTACCCAAGCGCCCCCAGTATACTTATAATACTGAATTAAACTGCCACATAAATTTGCCTTACGGTCTAAACTGAGACTCTTGTGGGTTTATATTACGTGAAATTAACACCTCTCTTTTCTTTTATGTGCAGGCAGCTATTTTCAACTTCATCCCAAGCTTTTCTACAGAGTCAGAAAGTGCACAGCTTCTTTCAGTCCATATCACCAGACCCTCTGCACAGCCTCAGTAAGCGTCTTCTCCTCTCTAGAAATCGGATGTGTTCTTGCTTAGCGTTCCTGTTTCACTGTGCTGCCTTGTATGGGGCTGGCAGTTGAGGAATAGCGGCCTACGATTAAGAAACTTGTAGTTTTCAGTGAAATTGACACTGCAGTTTTGCAGAAAAGAGTGTGTCAAAGCTAAAGTCACAAAACAGACTGATTGCAAGGGAAAGGCCAGCTGTCTCCATCTCGTGGACATACTGGGTCCTCCAGGGCCTTGTCACCTGGTGTACAGGCTTCGGAGGTGCTGCCCTGCCGGGCACAGGGGGTGTCACCTCTTAGAGTCTGCCTTTCCTCCCGGGTCCCGTGTCCCCGTGTTCCCGTAGTGACCTCCGCAGCCTCCCTGGCTGGAAACCGGGCGTTACTCTTTCCACTTTTCCTCTTCACGTTCAGTCATTTACAGGCCAAGCCATGCCGGACAGGGGGTGCCTTCCTTTCTGCCCCTCCTTACCAGTCCGTTGTGGGCTGTTAAGCCTTTCTTCCATGCACACCTTGCACAAAGCCTCCTCACTCATGTCTCCGGTTCTGGTTTCTCACTTGACTTTAACCTACGCCAGGATTACCTCAGGGATCAGTTGGTTAATCCCCTCTTCAAAACCTTAAAAGTTTGATTTGAAATTCAAGCCCTGCCGTGAGCCTCCTTGTGCCTCATTGCTAGTCTCTCAGGCTCTGGCTGCTTGAAGGCTTGGCATCTACTCAGTATACCTGCCATTTCCTGTCCCAGTGTCTTGGCTCATTCTGCACCTGAACTTTTAAATGTCCTTCCTTTTGGCACAGCCTGTTAAAATCACACCTGTTTTAAGACCCAACTGAAATATTACCTCCTGAAGATTTCCCCCATTTTTTTCCTTCTGTTCCTGTAAGTTGCTTTTGCCCTCATGTTTCATCCTTCCTCACAGTCAGCCTTATGTGTGCTTCTATGCACATCTATCTCAGCTGCCTTTTTAAACAAATATTTTGCCAGGAACATTGATGTGGGCTTTAGGAGAATGTGCTAACTTAAAGCACAGCCATTATGGCAAGTGGCTGTTTATTTTTTTAACCTTTCCTTCTGCTATCAACAAAGTCCTATTTTCTTGTACCTAAAGAGGAAAGAAAATGCATATTTGCTCGTTTTGAGGTGGAAGAAAGAGAATTTAGAAAAAGTAATATGATTGGATATGATAACGGGTTAACTTTTAAAGTTTCTCTCTCTCTCGTGTGTATGTGTGTGTGGGGGGGGGTGAGGGTGGGAGATTCTTGATGACTAGTTGATGAGACGAGATGAGTGACTCCACGGTTAAATTTCTGTCTGAACAGTGACAGAGTAGCTGGTTGTTTTTTAAAGAGAATCCTAATCACCCTGGAGCTGTATAGATCTAACAGTCAGTGCTTTCTTCTGCTTGAACCGAGTGGAAGTAGTTTTTAAGGAATATCTATAAATAGCGTTTGTTTAACACATGCCGAAAACACAAAGTTAAACTTTTAATTCCGGTTTTAACAGGCGACCCAGGAAAACTGGCCCAAGTGAGTAGCGCACATATAAATAAGAGAAAACTCATCACGAGAGCTTTACAGTATTTAAATTACGTGCATGGTGCTAAAGGGAGTAGTACATTGGAAGACCTCAAATTGTTGCAAAATTAAAATGTATTAAAGGACATGTTTTGGGAGTGTGGAAAATGTGGTCAGGATGTCCACATTGTTTCACCAGGGAACACACTGTTGTCAAAGTTCATTTGCACTTTTTTGAAAAAAATGACAGCTCTACCTTTTGTCCCCAGGGATAGACAGTAGTACTTAGTCTGTGTCCTGACACTTGAGAAAACAAATGTTAACTCCTAGATGACTTCAGCATATCGCGGTCTGGAACCCCACCAGTCTACACCTTACCTGAGGACTAGTCCGGGGCTTTCAGAATGTGCCCCATGGGCCACTGCTCTGTAATAGAATAGAAACTCACGGTGGACACTTGAGAGGCTTTGTAGCAGTTGGACATTGCCACACCTGCTTATATTTTATAAAAGGAATGCTTCACAACACATTAGAAATTTGAAAAGCCTTCCCACACCACCGATGTCTGAGAAGCACTAATCTAGTGCATCCCCTCCTATTGCACGTGAGCCCCTGGGGCTGGCGGAGGTGAAGCCCCTTGCTCCAGACCTGTGGTTTTCATGGGGAGAGCAGGCTCCCTGATTCAGGGTCCCCACTCCCAGTCCAGGGTTCTGTGCTGTGTCACCTTGGTGTTGTAAAGGTCCTAACTAGTAGAAATGTTCTCTTTACCACTGACTCACCACTCTCCTCTTCTTGGGACAGAAGGAATCATTCTGTGTGTTTTCTTTATTACCTTTTTCCTAAAAAGTTAATTGGTATTGAATACTTCCTGCAGATAACTTACAGTCCTCTCTGAAGACTTCTAAAATATTAGAACACTTAAAGGAAGACAGCTCAGAAGCTTCAAGTCAAGAAGAAGGTAAGTGTGGATTCACTGGAATAAGTCATTTTGCCTGATATAGGCACAAGGATAGGCAGACCATTAGAACAGATTAAGGAGCCAAGAAACAGACATATGGAAACTTGGAATGTGACAGGTGGCATTATAAATAAGTGAGGAAAAAATAGACTATTCAATAAATGATGTTGGCTGGCTTTCCAGTTGAAAAACTATTATATAATTAGATCCCTACTTACATCATGCACAAAAATTTCAAGTAAGTAACAAAAGATAAGTACATATAAACTTAATGTAGTATATAAAATGTAAAACTGAACTTTTAAATGTTAATAACCTGGGACAAGAAGGCTTTCTTGACAAAGCAGAACGTGACCGTGGTGGAGATCTTTTTTCTAAAATAAAACTGAACTTGTAACCAAAAAACAGGCAGTTAGAAGATATTTACAGGCTATTCACAGTTGAAGAAAGACTATACCCAGACAATAGAAATATTCGTCCAAAAACTCAGAGCATCAGTCTAATTGACAGTAAGGACAAAAGATAAAGATAGTTAATTCATGGAAGAGGAAATGTGAATGGCAATTAAGCAGTGTTTAGCCTCACGAGTAGTCTGAAAAATGCACACTGTAAAAACAACGAGATATCATTTCACGCTTCCCAAATTGGTAAAGCATTTTCAAGTCTGACATTACCAGGGGTATGAACTAATGGGAGCTCTGATCCGCTGCGGATGGGAACATAAATTGGTACAACTCATTTGGACAGAAATTTGACACTGTGTAGTGAGGTTGGAAGTAATTAATTTCATGCCACCGCCCAGCACTTCTGCTGCTATGAAAATTGTTGTCCGTGTGTTCAGGGGATGGAGACTGAAGTCCTCACAGCAGCCTTGTGTGTAATAGCAAATACCTGGGTATCACCCGGGTGCGGTAAATCTTAATAAAAACACTCAGTAGAATACTTCAGCTAGTTTATCTCTGTAGAGGGAGGAAGTCAAGTGGAATGGAGAAAGGCCTTCAGATGTTTCTGTGATATATTTTGTTTCTTAATGAAAAGAGGCAAATATAGTTGACCCTTGAACAACAGAGCGGTAAGGGGCGCTGCCCCCCTTGCGGTCGAAAATCCATGTATAACTTCTGACTCCCCCAAAACGTAACTATTACTAGCCTGCTGTTTGATCAGAAGCCTTACCAAAAATGTAAACAGTTAACACATAGTTTGTATTTTAGATGTATTATGATACTGTATTCTTATAATAAAGTAAGCGAGACAAAAGAAAATGTTAAGAAAATCGTTTACATTACAGTAGGACTGTAGCGTGTTTTTGAAAAGTTGCCCCTTTAAAGAGTTTTCTGTGAAAAGTGCTTAGAAGCGTTCTGCATGGTCTGGTGATCCTGTCACCGTCACATAAATTAGTTGCGTCATCCTCTTGGATTTTTGGCAGCAGCATTTGGTATAATAATCGTTTCTTCCTCTACCGTAGATGTGTTACAGCACACCATAATCCACAAGAAACACACCGGCAAGAGTCCCCTTGTGAAGTACGTATCTAATTCCTAAAACAATGTCTTTGTACGTTTGTAATTCACTGTGTCACATTTCCTTTAATCACTGAGACGTTTGCCTAGAAGTCTGCTGTTTTACTGTTTGCTTGTTACTTGTCCAGCCTTTTCTGTGTCATCTTCCTTTTCTTTCCTTTCTTGCTGTAAGGTGGTTTTATTCTGTTTCTCCGTTCTGTTAACTTTGAGAGTTAGGTAATGTTTTCGATTCTTCTAGTGGTAACGAGGGGTCATGAGATTGTGTTCTACATCTTGGACTCTCTAAGGTCTGGTACTAATGGCGCTTGCAGCACTTCCCCTGTGAGGACCTTTATTCGCTGTTATTTCACTTACCCCTCCCACCTTACAAATTGTGGTTGTCCTCTACGTTATTCTCCCTGTAGTTTAGACCTTGTGAAACCTACCTTCACCTGTCACTTGGATTCTGCCGTTCCACTGCCTTCATTCTTTCCCATGTGTCTTAGCGTCCGTCCATGATTGTTTCCTTCCTGCTGAAGGACTGCAGTAGTTCCTGTAGCTCTGCCATTGATGCATTTACTTTGTTTTTACCTGGGGGGAAAAAATGTTTATTTTGCCTGCACTTTTCCTGGATGTAGGATTCTAGGTTGTCAGTGACTTTCTGCAAGTGCTTTGAAAGTCAAGTTTTTACTGTCTTCCTGTTTAATGCCTTTGGTCCCTCGCATGATAGCCTCAGCCCAGCTCTAGGACCCTCTTCAAGTTTCCGCTGTCCCACCCAAGCTGTAAGGCTTTCCACCTTCTGCCTCAGGGCCCTGGCTGATTCTGGGGACCTGGTTGGCACTCAGACCAGCATAGTCCAGAAATGCAAGTTAATTTGCCCAGGGGGTCAGCACTCAACTGATGGGGGGGCTCCAGCTTCCTGTCCTTTGGGTAGATAATTCTGGGAGGTCCCAGCTTGTTTGAGCCTCTGTTGTTATGTTGGCAATCTCAGTAATGGACCCTTACAAGTTGGTTTTTCCTCTTTTCCTCTTTCATTCTGCACACTTTTTGTTTTGCTTCCTGAGCTCGCCTCCCCTATCAACCATGCCACCCCAGATTCTCCTTCTGGGGAGAACTAACAAAGACAGCTGGCATTCATTGTTTCAGCCTTGTTGCTCTTTGGAAGTGGATGTGCTTTTCACAGCCTGATTGCTTTTTAAGATTTTCTCATCTGGTTTTGAGCACTTTTCTAAGATACTGTTTATGGCTGTCTTTGAATGAATTTCACTTCTTAAGCCTAAAGCCTGATACCTTTTGATTTTAGAGAAGACCAGGCCACTACCTTTTCAGATACTACTTCCACCTGATTTTCTTGTTTTCTCTTCTGAGACTTGGGGTACTTCGTGTGTTAGACTTTCCACCAGGCCCTGTGTGTCTCCTAAGCTTTTCTGTGTTCTCTGTATTTTCTTCTTCTCCAGCTTCAGTCTAGTTTCTTCTGGCCAAAGTTCCTCCTTACTGACTTTGTGTGTCTGCTTCTATCCATTGAGTTCTTTAATTTTTTTTTTAATGTTTATTCCTTTTTGAGAGACAGAGCGTAAGCAGGGGAGGGTCAGAGAGAGAGGGAGACACAGAATCGGAAGCAGGCTCCAGGCTCTGAGCTGTCAGCACAGAGCCTGATGCGGGGCTCGAACTCAAGAACCGCGAGATCGTGACCTGGCTGAAGTCGGACGCTTAACCGACTGCGCCACCCAGGCGCCCCTCCGTTGAGTTCTTAATTTCAGTTTCTTTTACAGTTCCAGAATTTAAGTGTGGTTCTTGTTTGTATTTCTCGGGACATTCCCCAAATTTCCCATCTTCTTGTAGTCACTGACCTATTAAACACTGTTATTTTAAAGGCCATGTCCAGTAACTTCTGTCTCTGGATTCTCTTGGAGTCTGTTTCTGATGTCTGTTTCTTCTGTTTTTCAGTCACATTGCCCTGTCCTTTGACATGCCTTAGATATACAGAGTACTTAGCTATCCTCTCAAGATTGGGGTTACACTCCAGCTGTGAGTGGCACAGGATGACCATATATAGTGTCTGAAGACAACTTGCACTTGTTACTAATTTCCTTAGAGACAGGTGTTATTTATTAGATAAGATAGCTGTGTGATAATTTATTCTCATAGCATCCTTTTTTTTCTTAGAGATATCACTAGGCATTCTTTTAAAAAACATACACACACACACACACTGAACAAAGGGTTACTATTAGCTTCTTCATTATATGAGACAGTATAGGTTTGAGTACTGAGGACAGATTTTCACACCTTACAAACTTCTTCTGATAGCACCATTGGTACAAGTTGTTCTCCGTTGGATGGGCTCACCATGCAATATTCTGAACAGAACGGAATTGTGGATTGGAGAAAACAGAGCTGCCCCGCCGTTCAGCACCCGGAGCACTGTGTGGCCTTAGCTGACCAGGTATTGGAGGGTTTTGTTCTTGTCTCCATGCATTGCTGCTCTACAAGAGTTGAGTTCTCTTAAGTATTATTATGTCAGATAGTATAGCTGTTAGACTTTCAACTTAATTGGAATATATGGTCTAAACTCTTCTGACACCTGACAAAATATCTTGAGATTGCCTTTATTGCTCAGAAAAGGAGTACATTTTAATGCTAATCTTATAATGTTTATTCTAACTAGGGATACATCAAATGGTTCTGCCAGATTTTTTGCTTTTGGAAGAATTATTCACATTTCAGTCACTATCTTGCTGTTGGTGTTGTGAATTTTGAGCCTGACTGTCCTCATGAGAAGTTGGATGTAATGTAATGTAATTAGGAAATTACATTGTAATTTAGGAATTTAATTAGGAAATATTTGCTTTCTCCAGAGTTGGTGTAATCAGAGCGCAGAATGCTCGCAAGCACCGTAGATGCAGGGGAAGGCTTACTGGTGAGGCTATGGAGAGAGCCACCTTCTTTTCAGAAAATATATTTGTTAACTGATGTTTATTTCTGGTCAGCACTCAGCTCCAAATGTCAACCTTTAGTGGAATGTGGTTTTACAAACGAAATGTTCTGAGAAGTTGTATGTTACCTTAGTCATACTTAATGGCCTGTTTTCAGAGTCCATTCAATTATACCTTTACTCTCTCTACTTCAGCGCCTACACCTTTTCTTCTTAAAGTTGATAAAACTGTGTTGTACTTCAGAAGAACACTGTTGAACGTGTAAGCAAATGCCAGTGATTTGTATGTTTTGTTTTGTGCTCAGAAGAAAGAATACGGGGCCATTTTAAAAGCAAAATTCAAAAATAGGTATTTTTCTTAGATTAATATTGAGTATCAGAGAATGTGCAAATTTTAGTGGTTCAGGTAGGTATCTTCAAGAAATAGGTTAGAAATCAGAATTTGTTCACAATATATAACTGGGAGTGTGTCATTTTACTGTTTGATAGGAGAATAGAAGGATATCTACATGAGTGTGGGTTAGTTTTAGTCTGATTTCTTTTTATTCTTTCCATTAGCATTCAACTGAAAAACGAAGCTTATCTTCAATAAATAAGAAGAAAGGAAAGCCACAAATAGAAAAGTAGGTTCAATTTAATGTTTCCAGTAATAGGAATTGGTAAGAAAGGCAACATGTAGGCTTTGACTATGGGCATGTTTTGTTTATGTAGAATAAATAGTATTTTCATTACATTTTTATTTCTAGGCCTAATTTTTTTAATTCGAAATAGTCAGCAAATGCAGATGATCAAAATAAAGCTATTGTCAAAATATATTCAGTATGGAGGGACAAAACTCTCCGAACCGTACACTAAAGGGCGAATCTTGCATTTAGATTATACCTTACTAAAAATTGTTTTACTATAAAAAAACAGAATTTTAGTAATACTATTTATTGTGTTCTCTAGAGAGCCTTATAAAAAAATGTCAGTAACCTGTATATTTTGGGTTTAGGGAGAAAATTAAGAAAACTGACAACAGATTGAATAGTAGAATAAATGGTATCAGACTCTCAACTTCCCAGCATGCCCATGGTGGTTCTGTGAAAGGTAAGAAAGTTGGTGTTTCTTTCAAATACCCGTCACCTACATGTATTTGGCATGATACCTGTTTTAGTAGCTGTCGAGCTGTGGTGTCAGATCCTGAAATTATACTGTTAACCTTGCGCGGACGGGAATAGCAGGTTCTGAATTAAACCATTCTGAAGTATTAATGGAACTGATTTAGGAAGTCGGAAGCAGCCGTAGAGGTGAACCTTTCCTTCGCCACAGCTGTGCTTCCCACCGTTTCCTTCCTCTGCAGGCCACGGGCTCCTCACTTGTCCACTTCTCGAGCCTGTCCCTGCTCCAGAGCACAGGTCGAGCACCTGGGGGGTCCTTTCAGCCCTCGTGGAAGCCTGTCCCTGTCCTTGTGTAAAGTCATTTTTAGAATCTTGTTGACGTTTTCATGTTTTAATGACTGTCCTTTGTGGGCTTTTACGGAGTTCTAGGGGAATGCAGACACTCAGATTTTTATTGTACTACATTTGTATAGTTTCCATTTACCTGCTTTTAAGTTTTCTTTATTTTCAGGTTTTGTATTTATTTGAGAAGCGTCCTTTTTGCTGGTTCATTAATGACTTTTCTGTGTTACGTGTACCATTAATAGCAAAGACAAAAGAGAATAAAAGACTCCTAGACCCCTAGGAGTATGTTTTGTTCATGTGTGTACCTCCCACATTTGTTGATTGCACTGATTTCACAAATTAAGGATTTTTTTTGATATAAATTTTATGCAAGTATTAGTACATTCAGTTGTGATGATACAACATAAATAACCAGAATATACATTTTTTTTAATGGAGTGTGTTTTTAAACCAGGTACTTATTCACAGAGATTGAGTATTGATACAGGAAATATGGTTACATTTTTCCTCTAAAATCAGCTGGCCAACTTACTGAATTAACTAACTGAACTGTCCTTGGGGAAAAAATGACATGGGGGAAAAAACACGTCGTTTATGAGTATATTGTAACACTTAACTATCTTTGAGGTTTCCTGTGGTGGTGGTGGCAGCTAAAAGGAGGAGGAAAAAAGCTAAAATAAGAATGGCAAAAGGTCTCTGTTGGCGGATGGTTGAAAATTACTTGTGGCAGATCTCCCTGTCTCTGTTCTTCCTCCTTCCAGCTCACTTCCTACACTGCCCGCATATTTGTCTCCTAGGTCACATCTTAAATCGGATCATTCCCCAGTTGAAATTCCTGTCAAACGTATCCCACCCTCAGAAGATCGCTCTCGTCCCTCATGTGATTTGGGAACTACTGCTCACTGAAGAAGCACACAAGTCTTCTATCCTCTTTAGCTTCATACTTGCAGAGAAGTTCTGTGGACTTTGATCTTAGACAAATGTGGGTTTGAGTCTTGTCCTCCAGTTTCATAAATGTGTGGCCTCTCTGCAGCCTAATTTCTCTCATTTCAGAGACAGGACTAATAACCTCCCGCCCTGGATTGTAAGGATTAAATATAGCAACATCTGAAAAGCACTTAACTAGTGCTGAGCACATAGATGTTCAATAATTTAGTTCTTTTCCCTATTCTAAGTTAGAAGAAAACATACACTTGTAGGTTATTAAGAGCTTATAAATAGCATCCCAAACTCCAATTTCTTTTTCTCTTTATTTTCCAATACTCTGAAAATACAACCTCAGGATTTCTTATTAAGATAAACCTTATTCTTTGTCATGAAGTGTGACTATAAATAAAATATACTTTGTACAGCTTTGCATTGATACCAGATGTAACTCAGATGTTTGCTGACTCCAATTTAAAACAACAACAACAACAACAACAAAAACCTCTGTTGATTAATTTCCTTTGGAAATATTAGGTTATAAAGAAGGAATTACCTTTAAGCATTCAGTAAACGTAAGATATATTTAAGGTTTTGTTTCTTTGTGGAACAAATCCTACATGTCATAAAGTAGTAGATAGTGTATTGGAGTTAAAAATGTCAGATCCTTCTGATTGGTAGGTTGTCTGGGTCTTTCCTAGTTTTAACTTTAAAATTTAACTTCTATTTTGAGTAATAAGACATTTATATTGTTGAAAATTCTAAAAACACAGAAGGGACCAAAAGTCCCTCACTGCCTCCCTTCGTGTTGTGTCCCCGAAAAACGGTGGCAGTGCTTGCTATTTGTCATCTGTTTTCTTTGCATTGTGTTTGTTTTTAAAACCTCAAGCTTTAAGTTTCTCTGCTAGAAGGATGTGTGCTTTACTTCATCTGCATTATTAAGAACTTTTTCCCACTGCATCGCCTGTGTTCCTTCCACCCCATTCGTCTGTTGCTGATTGTGGCACCAAGAAGTTTGGGGGCAGTGAGATGGTTGACCTCTCAGTAATTCTTATGACAGATTTCAGTGACTTCAGAGTCTCCAGCTTCCTATAATAGCCCACTGTGTTTCTGTCATCTCATGTATCTAAATGGTTCTTAAGTCTACGCGACTTCTCTTTGTTCATAAATACTAATAACCAGGATTTTTATTGTTAGAATAGTGTTTAATACTGTAAGGTTTTGCTTTTCGTCTTCTTAATAACATGCACAACCTTTTACTCTTTGAGACGTGATAATAAACAAAAAGGTTTATGCTTCTATTTAAAAGGAGAGTTTTGGGGGGGGCGCCTGGGCGGCTCAGTCAGTTAAGTGTCCGGCTCTTGACTTCAGCTCAGGTCACGATCTTGTGGTTCATGAGTTCGAGCCCCACGCCAGGCTCTGTGCTGACAGCGCAGAGCCTGCTTGAGATTCACCCTCTCCCTCTCTGTCTGCCCCTTCCCTGCTCATGTGCTCTGTTTCTCTTTCTCTCAAAATAAATAAACTTAGAAAAAGAAAAGGACGGTGCATGAAACATCCTTTGGCATAATTGTTTCATGCTCCCCTTCCACACTCTGACTCCATAGGGTCACATGATAATGATTTCTGATGATAAAAATTCCAAAGACTCTGCACCTGCCAGGTGATCAAAAAGAAAATTCTGTTTAGTATAGATTTAGATTTATGTATTTAGTTCTTTGAAAACTGCAAATTATTATATTGGCAGTTTGGTGATGAGAATATTTACTGGCTAATATAACCGAGAGTAAATCATTCTGTAAACTGTGATTTTGAGAAATAGCTGCTTTTTTTTTTAAAACCTAGTCTGAAACTTCGCTCTTTGAAGTTTCAACAACTCCACTGTAGTTTCACTGTCTGAGTTGTAGTGAGCAGATAGATCTTAGCTCACCCTCCCCCCAAGGGCTCCCTGTCAGCCCATCATTTCTGGCTTGAGATTGTCATTGAATGTTTGATTCTCTTCACTGAATTGTTCATTTTGTTCATTATGCTGGTTGAAATACTTACATGCACAGTTTGCATGTATGCCACAGTTTGAGAGGTTTCATTTTTAGTAGTCCAGTTAATGCCAGGCTTTTTGGCCACCGTGGCACATTAGATTGTCCTCAGGTGCCGTTGACGTTCACTTGGGTCCCTTTCCTTAGTCATGTTGTGACTGGAAATTCAGAACCTATTACCGTGTGTAAGTGTACTCCAGATGACTTTTCTGTAAAATTATTTCTTGTCCAAGTCGCTCCTCTGCCACTTTTCTTACAGCCTCATGAGATCTTGTGCAGTTTTCCCTTGGCAGTTTGGCATTTTATTACCCAAAGGGATTCCGCATCATCTGCATTCTTAATGACTTTATTCTTTAATATTGATTTACCGTTTGAGTGGTGGGTCATCTTTAACAGTACTAACCTCCTTATAATTTAATGCCTTTAAAAGACACAGATTAGTCAACTAATTTGCGTATTACACAAACCATATCTTTTTTCTAACACCTATTTTGTCCAAGTGATTACCTTTTATTGATTCTGCCAGGTTGCCGAAGAAGTGGTTCACTCATCTATAGTCCTGAAATCTCTCCAGAAATCCTTCTATGGGGATTTCTGTCCTAAACGTGTGTTGGGTGCTTGCTGCGAGGCAGAATCTCTGCTGGCTCAGCTGGGTTTACAGGAATGAATGGAACAGTGACCTAAGTTTGGGCCAGTGCGGGAGTGTCCAGTACTAGGTGTACCAGTAATCTTTTCTCTGGGCCCCGAACAGAAACAGCTGATTGGTCGGGGCAGATCTGCACCACAGCCCCCGCCCCACCCCATGTTGGCTTCTGGGCAGAACTCAGGGGACTAATCAGTCTACTAGATGGGGAGCATCTTCCTCTGTTTCAAATACTCAGGCATAGTGATTCGACCAAATAAACATTCCGGCAGTCAGTTCTATTCCTGAGTTCTGATAAAGAATGTATTTTCCAACAAGCTCTGAGGAGTTAAAATGTCTAGACTCAGAAAATGGCTCAGTGTGCTCCTACTGAGCAGACCCTATGATGAACTTTAACTCTGATTTTTTTAAAGTCAGTAAGATTGACTTGTCCCTGTGCCTTTGTCTTAAGAATATACTTGTTATTCAATTATTTTCAATTAAAATTGTGTTGTAATAATGAATTTTTACCTCAAGGCCCAGCTTTTTAGGTGATTATAGAAAAACTAAGAGAAAAAACTTTTTACAGCTATAACTAATTCTTTTTTTTTTTCTTGTTTTTAATGTTTATTTTTAAGAGAGACACAGAGACAGAGCATGAGTCGGGGAGGGGCAGAGAGAGGGAGACACAGAATCCCAAGCAGGCTCTAGGCTCCGAGCTGTCAGCACAGAGCCTGACACGGGGCTCGAACTCAACGAGCTGTGTGAGTTCATGACCTGAGCCGAAGCTGGACGCTTAACCGACGGAGCCACCCAGGCACCCCGGCTATAGCTGATTCTAATGGTTCAATTCAGAAATTAATATACTTAACATGATTTTTTAAGAATAGAATTGTTATTTTTAGATGTGAATTTGGACATTGGATCTGGACATGACACATGTGGAGAAACCTCTTCAGAGAGTTACAGTTCTCCCTCTAGCCCACGACATGATGGAAGAGAAAGCTTTGAAAGCGAAGAAGAAAAAGACAGAGGTTTGCTCTTTGGAAGGGATATGGGGATGGT